AAAAAAAAAAAGAAAAAATAGTAACAAAAGGATATAAATTTATCGTTTAAATATATTCTAGGTATGAAAGTTGGTCAGCTTCACGCAAAAGTGGTACTAGCCTTTCTCTTAAAGGAATACGAAATTTGGCAGGAAGAAAAAGATAAAAGCGTTTTGGACCCACGTTCAACTTTTACAGCTGCAGCTAATGGAATAAAGCTTCACTTTAAAAAAATAATATCATGAAAGGAGAATTAAATTACATTTTTGATTTAAGTCTAGTCTAATGAATAGGTATTTATCATGTATTTAACTATTCATAATTTTAATTGACGATTAACTATTGCAATCATTTCTTACTAACACCGTTGGAATTTTAATTCCAATGAAATTAATTATGAAAATACATAATGAAGATACTATCTAACATATAGTATTCACATTTTAATAAGATCAACGTGAAGATGGAAAAAAATGAATCCTATGTAAATAATATTGTTAATGATATTTAACAATTTTTTGATACAATCATTTACGATATAATATTTATTTTAGAATTTATGTAAATTTTATTTAATTTAAAAAGAAATTTAAATATTACCGGTATTCTATTTTAAGTTAATAATAATTTATATAATAAAACAATATTATATACGAGAATAAAACTTTGTTTATAAATAAATTAATTATATTTTATCTTTTTTTAATCTATACCTTTTACATATAAAAGTATCCAATTTTCTCATTTAGTATCCATATTTATGTGTTCATCTACGTTATAATTATTTATATATCGCTTATAACACGTTTTATACAGTACATTTGTGTATAAATTTAATCAATTTTGGCATGACCGTGTCATAAAATTTTCTTCTCAAAGATATTTTTAATCAGAGTTTTTGTTAAGATTTTATAATCAGGTTTTTATTGCACAACTTACAAAGTTTTTTACAATGTCTTATCATTATATCACATATAATTATCTCACATTTTTGGCTTGCTCTTAACACACCCCTCGTCTACCTTTAATTATCACCAATCTTAAAATTATATTATCTAAAAATTATAACTACCCAGATCTCACTCGAGTTCGTCTTCGCCTTCCCTCCCATCCTCCTCTACCCTCCTCTACTTCCCTGAAAAATTCACACATCCCAACCTGAATCTTACCGCCTAACATGTTTATTAATTCCCCTCTTATAGCACCTTCCTCTACTCCAGCCATCCACTCCTCTACTTCCTTCCTTCCCTTACAATATTTTTATAAGTTTTTCCTATAACGTCTAATTATTTCATGACAAACCATAATTTCATACTTTAACTATAAACATGTATATAGAAATTGTTTCGTATTTCATGTAGATACCTGGAACAAATTTACTTTCAAAAAAACGAACATCGGTTTATGAGGTACTAACTGGCATGCACATAGATACGAAATATTGCCCAGATCCATTACATTAATAAATAATTAATACGAAATAATAATACGATAAAAAGAGAGATAGATGTAATTAATGAAATATTTTGGAAAAATATTATAACGAGACATTCTTATAATAAATCTCTCATAAATGATAAGATAAGAAGCTATTGCATCAACTAATAAAATCTCATACCGTTTTCATGCTCATCACTGTAGTCATTTTTTGGAGCTCAAGAGATGTTATACATTTCCGGAGTTTCTTCTCATAAAAATTATTTCTCTTTAACCGAGTTTATTAGTTAGTTAATATAAGCGGTAATAAAATTCGTTAAGGTGTATAAAACGAAGTTGTATAATGTTCAACAAGTGTTAGAACTAACCAGATAAAGTAATCAAAATAAATCATCTTCATTCAAAATGGGGATTATTGGTAAATATATACATAAAAATATTTACTTTTATTTTTATTCCTATCATTGTTCTATATACAAAATTGTAATAACCTTACAAAATATAACGTATTTATCGTGTTAAAAATATTCACAGGATTCGAAACATTTATTAATGGATTATTATTCATTTTTATTCCCGCAATTGTATTTTACTTTTGGATAAAACAAAAATTATCCTATTGGAAAAGACGAGGTGTACCTTCTTTGCCAATAAATTCGTTACTTCGACAATTAAAGGATGTAATTCTCGTGCGAAAATCTGGAAGTGAAGCACTCGGAGATCTTTACAAAGAAACTAATGAAAAGGACAAATTTTTCGGGATATATATCTTACTTAAACCATTTTTACTAATAAAAGATAATGAACTTGTTAAATCAATATTAATCAAAGATTTCGATGTCTTTAGTAATAGATATTTTTCGGTTAAATCAGCTAACGACCCGGCTACTTTTAATCTTTTTTCCCTCGATAATCCCGAATGGAAACATCTAAGGTAATAAATAGCTTACTCATTCAATATCAATTTGCAGAATTATGTAAATAGAATTTTTATAAAAAAAGTAAGTAAATAACGAGAAATTTTTTTTTTAATTTTTTACGACAACAATGTATTCAATCTTATAAATATTTTATACGTTCTATAAAGTATATGAGGAAGGCCACAATAAATTCTATGCATACATTTCAAGGTAAGATAATACAAGAATGTATCTTATTTATAGGCGTTAATTAATAGTTTTGATTAGCATACAAATGTCAACAGGTAATTCTTCGATGATTTAATAGAGAATGATATAACTATATGTTAATAGAGTTAAATTGTCTCCGGTATTTACGAGTGGAAAAATAAAGAAACTATTTTATCTGATGTACGAGACATCCGAAGCAATGACGGACTTTCTGGAAGAAAAATTTCGTCAAAATTCTAATATTTCGATCGATGCTAAGGACGTTTTTATGAAATATGCTACCGATGTTATATCTACAGTGGCTTTCGGAGCTCGAACTAATTCGTTTAAAGAGGAAACTTCTGAATTCTATCGACAAAGTTAGCAAATGATCAATTTAACAATCGTAATTAAAACTAGTCGTAATCAAAGAATAATAATTATTATTATTTATATATATATATACAGGTCTTTTACCTTTCGCGACAAGTTTAAGAAGGTACCTATCGATATATAAATCTTTCTTCTTTTCGGAGTTAAATAAAAAAATTGAAGTTACAATGATGGCAGATGCTAGGGAGTACTTTAGTCAACTTTTCTGGGAAATTTTCAACGAACGAGAAAAATCTGGAATGAAAAGGGGAGATCTTATCGATTCTCTCATTGAATTAAAAAATGAGGAACAAAATGATGATTTCAGTAAGAAACGAAAGTCAATTCGATGTTTTTTGAAATATCCAAATTAAATTTAAGCGCGCATATCAAACGACAATAATAATATTCTACAAATGATAAATATGTATATTTATATAATAATGTTGATGATCATTATTTAGAATTCGAAGGAGATATTTTACTCGGTCAATCACTGATATTTTTTRTCGCTGGTCGAGAGAGCAGTGCTACTACGATATGTTATGCTCTTGCTGAACTCGCAAGAGAATCAAAATTGCAAGACAGATTGAGAACGGAAATACGTGAAACATTAAAATCCGATGGATTCACTTACGAAGCCGTGCAAAAAATGAAATATCTACATCAGGTGATCTCGGAAACTTTGAGATTACATCCACCAGGACCGATCCTAGATAGAGTTGCAACGAAAGATTATGTGGTAATTAAAAGGGAAAACTTGAAAWGCTTATTATTCACTATTTTAACCAACCTTTTTTACGTTTTATACGTTTTTCTTAGAACGCCTAGTTATTTCATGGAAAACTGTAATTATATACTTTAATTGTTACGTGTATATATAAATTGTTTTGTATTTCATATAGATACCTGGAACAAATGTACTTATAGAAAAAGGAACACCCGTTTATGCGGTACTAACTGGCATACATGTTGATCCGAATTATTTTTCTGATCCATTACGTTTCGATCCTGATCGATTTAGYGACGAAAGAAAAGCAGATATTCTACCATATACTTACATGCCTTTCGGTGATGGGCCAAGATTCTGCATTGGTATGTCAAAATTGTTTAAATGTTTAAACGAATACAATATGTTTGATAAATAATTATTTCTTTTCATTTCCAGCTCAGCGAGTAGGCATGTTACAATCTGCAGTTGGTATAATCCAAGTAATTAATAATTATGAAGTTTCATTGAATCTAAACGGAAATTATAAACACGATCCTACAAATATGTTCATAAAACCGGGTAACAATTTCATTTTGGATTTAAAGAAAATAACTGCGAAGAATTAAATAGTATAAAATACGTACTCGAATGATAACAATTATAATCTGAGTGAGAATATGAAAATGATATAGAAAACTGATTGTCATTATTATAAATGTTATTAGAATATTTAGTTATGTAATAAAAGAATAACAAAAAAGTAAATTTAAATAAATTATTAATTTTTAAGATTTACTTAAACTATTTTACGATTAGATTATTATTAATGTTATTATTACTAATATTCTATTAATTATTGTGAGTTTATTATTATGTAACTTATTTTGAATGAAAAGATAGAAAGGTAAATGATGAAATAATGTGGAATAATATTCTGATGTAGCATTTGTAGAGTAAATCTGTCTTAAATTATAAGATTTGCAATTGCATGGATTAAAACAATTTTGCAATACTTTTCAGTCTTTTTTTTTGGAGATGTTACACGTTCCAAGAGTTTTTTCTCATAAAACTTATATCGTTAATTGAATTTATTGATCAGTTTATAAGTACGCGGTAATACATTAGTAATAAAATCCGTTCAGGTGTAAAAAGACAAGTTTTTTCTCATAAAACCTGCATCTTTAACCAAGTTTATTAATCAGTTTATATTTAAATGATAGTTTATTAGTAATGAATTCTGTTCAGGTGTATAAAAAAAGTTACATCTTGTGCGACGAGTGTTAAATTGAAAAGATAATAAATTACCCTTATTAAAAAAATAGCGATTATTGGTATATTTACAAATTTTTTTTTTCTCTTATTTTTATCATTATTCTATATTATGAATTACAAATAACTTTACAAAATAAGGAAAAATGAAATAAAGGAAATTAATTCTAAATAGAAATATGATTATTATAAAGATTATATAAAAGATTATTGCAATATATCTTACACATTTTTTAACTTTATAAATATATGTAATATGCATATTTATTGTAAAAAAAAAGATTTACGATCAAATTGATATTTCTATGTATTTCTATTATTTGTGTTTATTTATTTAGATCTTAACTGTTACTTCGTTAAAAGAGAATGATATTTCTTACACTAAATTATTGACCCTGTTTTGTATTGACGAAAAAATAAATTTTTGTTTCCAATGTTTGGTCTTAAGGAAGTCTGCAATAAACGAAAATTCATTGAAAATACATTTTACCCGTATAATACAATTTTCAAAAATGACACATTCAAATTGAAAGTAATATAATACTAATACAAATGCCAAGAAAAATGGGATAGAGCATTTATTTATACTACCTTACTGATATTTTCTAAATTGATTAAATAAGTTGTGTCGGTATTGTAGAACGATTAGAAATTTTATTCAGCACCTTACAGTATGCAGCGCTTCATATATTCATAAAACAGAGATATCTTTATTCAGTGRTCATGAAAGTAGTATTCCAGTCAGAGATAATACATTTGCATATTAAATACATACTAGTTCTAATGTAAGAGATTACAATTTTCGATTAAAGTAAACTATTTTAAAAAAGTATWATATTATTTATAATACAATAACATAATCATAGTAAATATAATCGAAATTTAAAATGTGCAATTCAATAGTAATCGTCGGTCTTTGTTTTATATAATATTCTTTCCATAAAAAATTCCGTTCTTATTATTTTGATTGTAACATTAAGCAAGTATTACGTTGAGTCCAAAGTCTTATCTGTTTTCTTTACTTCCAACTTTGTTATGTAACATTATCCTTAGTAAAATGATTAATTAATTAGATTATTTTATTTTGAGCGTATTAATAATGAAACATATCGGGAATAAAAACAAAGATGATTATTGAATTATTCCTGGAATGATATTAGAAAATGATATTTTTAAATTATATCTAACGTAAGTGATAAGATTAGTATTTGCGTAGTAGAGAGAGAGATTAATTCAATTTTATGCTTGTAATGTGCTCATCACTTCAGTCTACTTTTGAACTCCTGAGATGATGTACGTTACAAGTCGTTTCTTCCCATGAAACTTATTTCATTAATCTAGTTTATTCATCAATTAATATACGAGGTAATAAATTTAGTTCATGTGTTTAAAACAAAGTTGTTTAACAAGTGTACAACAAGTGTAAAAACTAACCAGATAAAGTAATCAAGATAAATCATCTTCATTCAAAATGGCGATTATTGGTATATATATATACATATATTTATTATTTTTTTTATTCCTAACATTGTTTTATATATAAAATGACAATAACGTTATGAAATATTACATATCTACTATGTTAAAAAAAATTCGTAGGTTTCAAATTCTTTATTAATGGATTGTTATTCGTTTTAACTCTCGTCGCTGTATTTTATTTATGGATGAAATACAAATTATCTTATTGGAAAAGACGAGGTGTACCTTCTTTGCCAACAAGTTCGGTACTACGACAATTTAAGGAAATTATTCGTGGGCGTAAATCTGGAAGTATAGCACTCGGAGATCTTTACAAAGAAACTAATGAAAAGGACAAATTTTTCGGGATATATATCTTACATAAACCATTTTTATTAATAAAAGATAGTGAACTTGTTAAAACGATTCTAATCAAAGACTTCGATGTCTTTTGTAATAGATCATTTTCGCTTAAATCATCGAATGACTTGGCATCTTTTAATCTATTTTCCGCCGATAATCCTGAATGGAAACATCTAAGGTAATAAATAGCTTACTCATTCAATATCAATTTGCAGAATTATGTAAATAGAATTTTTATAAAAAAAGTAAGTAAATA